TGTAGCTATTCTCTGCTCTCAGGGAAACCACAGCTGAACTGGACAGGCAAGGCAAACCCACATGAAATATTAACCAAACCCTTCCCATTCTTAGGATCTGAGCACTGAATGGACTATAGGCAGTCACCTAAAAGCTCAGACCAAGGGGTAGACATGTGGGCTCTATCACCCTGCAAGGCTTCACGTCACTCTCATCTCATGGGCAACTATAAATATGCTGATTTCCCAATCAATCTGAAGAAATGCTGAGCAAAACATTTAATTCATGTGTGGAGAAATATTTTAAAACCAAGTTTTAGACGTTTGAACATTCTCCCTACCCTTGCCACTGCCCCCAGGCTCAAGCAGACCTCCTGCCTCAGCCTCCCAAAATGGACATTTGAACATTTTAAAGCTTCAATAAGTGAGTTTGCTGATTCAGTTTGAGTGTAACATTCACTGGGCATTTTAAACCTTACATGGTCCAAAGTAGAGAAGTTAAGGAAGGCAGCTTTGTGGAGACAATGGCTTAAGCTCTGGGAACCTCTGAATGTCTCCATTAAAATGTAAATTCCCAGGAGAAAAGGTCTGGTTATTCCAGGTTTCTTCCTAGATCAATTCTTAGTCCCTGATTGCTGAACAAAGATCAGGATATTAATCCAAGTCAGGGCAGGTTGAATCATCAATGAAAACAGTTAAGAGTTGGGATCATTTTTGGGGGCCAGTGGGGAGCGGTGGACAGGGTTGTTGGTCAAAATACCGCTGTTGAGACCAAAGAAATCTACCGAGGTGCCCCATATAGAAAGCAAGCTCTGAATGCAAGATACCGGAATCATTTTGCCAAGCTAAAGTCAAGAGGACAGGAGACACAGCAGGGCCAGCCTCACTTAATAAGATTCTGGAAGTTAGAGTAAGTAAGGCGCTTCTTCAGGGTAAGCTAGAACAAAATAGGATTCAGAAGGCAGATCACAAGTTAGGAATGTAAAATCTGGAGTTGTTATGTACCCGTCTGCATTTTTTAGTGATTCTTCCACCATTGGACCCTGCTGTGTAGATTAACGCCTCCCAGTCTCTCTGCTTTTATGGAAGATCTTAGCGACAAACATTGAGTGCATCTGAGAAACATGAAAAGCTCGGTATTCAGTGTTTAGGAAGAATGGTAACCAAGACAGCTCTGCAGACACAATGATTGAAGCACTTGGAACCTTCAGACACTGTGAGTCTCCATTAAAATATTTAAATTCCCAGGATAAAAAAAGTGTTTGATTATTTCAGGTTTCTTCCTAGATGATTCAGGTATTTCTTGGAGTGAGGGTGGTGGGGGGTGGGATGTCATGTAGCACAGTAGGGACACTGAGGGCCCATCGAATGCATCAAGGCCATTCTTGGATAAGGAAGAATTGTTACAGGCAGGAGAGTGATTTCAACCTGAGTTTACCATAATGTCCAAAACCTCACTGATTCATTCATCAAGACAGCACATCACAGCAGAGTGCTTCAGAATGCAAGCTCTGGAACCAAGTGCTTGGGATCCATTTCTGGCTCTGTCAGTTACTAACACTGCACTTTCTTCTCCAGTCAAAGCAGTTAATTTGAGTACCTATCTCACAGGATTGTACTGAGGAGTAAAAGGCTTAATGCACATAGTGAGCATAGGATAGTACCTGGCCCATAATAAGCATACAATACATTTTAGCCATGACTAGCATTTTTTTGAAAAATCTTAATGAGCACTGATTATGTGCCAAGTATAGTGTGAGCTTCTCACCATCCTTTAGCCCAAACCTATTTTCCACTGAGGAGGATATTCTTATCCTAGTCATTAATTAGAAATGTGGGAGTCATCTTAATTCTTCCCACCTCCTCACTGCCCACTTCTAAGTACACACCCGACTGGGTTCCACCTATTAAACGTCTACCAGCTCCTTCTCTCTCTTCCAGTCTGTACTGTCACTGCTCGATTCAGGCTTTCTTTCATGTTCCATCTCCAATATTACAGTGGTCTCCACTGTGTCTCCCTAAGGTCAATGTCACTCTCCTCTAATCTAAGATTTATAAAATTCTAAGTTTTGCTATTGTTTTTTCAAACACATACCCGACAGTATCATTCACTTGTTCAAAGGCCTCAGTACTCAGTACTATAAACCCTCAGGTCCCACATGGGCCTTTGTGATCTGGCCCTTCCTGTCTCCCCAGCCCTTGCTCTGTGCTGTCACTAAACAAGCTGGAGTTTCCAGACCGTCCAGTGCTGTTTCACTTCTCTATGTGTGCTGTTCCTTCTGCTGGGTCACCCTACCCTTCCATCTGCATGACAATTCATCCTCCTACATGAAGGTTCAGATTTCATCAATAAATGATGAAATAAATAAATCATCAATAAAATTTATGGATGAAATCAATAAATTCATCACTTTCTTAGACTTATCACGTGTCAAGCCTGGGCCAAATTCAGGGAGTACAATGCTGAATAATATACTCCACTCTGTCTTTGTCATAGAAAAAGTAACCTTAGGGGTCTCAAAGGAGCAATAAAGTTTGGAAATTAAGGCAAATTTGTCTCAAATTTAGCATTGTTGCCTTTACTAGTTGGGTATCTTAGCAAACTGGGGAAACTTGGAAACCTTGATACTTGGGCATCAAGTCTAAAAGCATCTCAGCAGATTTCAATTGCAACAGTAAACTGTGACACAGTAGATTTATTCATTTGGGCTCATATGGCTATAATGTGCTAAAAACATTGACTTGAACGACAAAAACAATGATCAAAAACTTGCCTCAATATAGTGTTATAAATTTATAAACTGCTAGGCAGGGCATGGTGGCTCACACCTGCAATCCCAGTGCTTTGGGAGGTAAAGGTGAGCAGCTCACCTGCGGTCAGGAGTTTGAGACCAGCTGGGCCAACAGGGCAAAACCTTGACTCTACTAAAAATACAAAAACTAGCCAGGTGTTTTGATGGGTGCCTGTAGTCTCAGCTACTTGGGAGGCTGAAGCACAAGAATTGCTTGAATGCGGGAGGTGGAGGTTCCAGCGAGCCAAGATTGCGCCACTACACTCCAGCCTGGGCAACAGAGTGAGACTCTTGTCTCAAAACAAAACAAAACAAAACAACCTATTAATTAGTCATACTATTTCCTAAAAGTCATGCTATTAACTAAAGGTGACTGCAATTGTCCAGGGGTGATAATCAGCTGAGTTCAGTTTTACATGGTTGTTAAATAATATGAAATATGGTTCATTCAAGTGCTTTAAAAACCATACCTTTCTAATTCATATATTTTTAAATCATGTATCAAATGAAGAATAGGCTGCCTACAAAGACAAGTAAATCAGTAAACGCAAAAGCTTCCTCACTTTTCCAGCCATGACCCAGTCTATTCCAAATCCCAGATCTGCAGAAACGTCAGTCATATTGGGACAGAAACTGTACCCTAGCACCTATCTCATTATAATGGATTTTCCAGCGTATTTAAAAAAACTATTATTTAGTCACACTATTTCCTAAAAGCCACACTATTAACTAAAGGTGACTGTAATTATCTAGGGGTGGTAACTGGTTGTTTAATTTTTAAATACACTGGGACCCAGCTTACTGAGTTATATTGGGACAGAAACTTCCCTCTGGGTGTAGATATACCCTAGCAGCTTGTCGGCAGGATCCCATTATTCCTGGTTGTACAAGCAAGGTTCAGAGAAGAGGCTGGCACAGAGAAGGTGCCTGGTAACTGTTGTTTGGGGCTGAACTCAGCTCAACTCAGCTCTAGTAGAGATGGTGATCCCTTCTCTATCATGTTGATAGCGTGTGCAGACCCTGCCTAAGCACTGCTACCCACTACAATGGGACCTGTGCGTTTCAACTTTTAAATTTCTCTGCTCCTGCTGGGACCTAGTCACTTCAAAAATCGTCATGTGGTTTTAACATCAATGTAGTCAGTATAAACTGTCTGAAATATTTTGGTTTTAGAGAGTTAGTTACAGTCACCACATTAAATGATACATTTCTACCACGCAGTGAAAATGATAACAAAATGGTCACTAGATACTGAAATTAATTTTCCCTTGGGCTTCTGTGGCAAAGCACATGATTTTATGGTTATCTTAGATCAGCCCAGTGACCTTTACTGGCATGTTGTAACATCAGGCGCCTTAAGAAACTGAAAACTCAAATCGTCACTTCCCATACCATTGCCCCAGGTTAGCAGGGCAGGCATTTCACATCTAGAGCCCCATTTTAAATACAGACAGAGCAAGCCTCGCTTTTCAGAAGTTCATTAACAAAGTCTCACAATTAAGAGAGCAGCCGTGTGACTCATTTTTGGATACCCGTAAGTAACAACTCCTCCCTTTGCTGAGAAACGGCTGAAATAAGTGCGTGAGAACCACAGGAAGTAATACAGATCTCAGCTGGTGTCAGCGGAGTCTAGAAAAAGGCAGAATTCCCTCTCGGACAGCGTGGTTCTCGCAGGATTGCCACTACCTCTCCTCTCCATTTTTCTAAAACGAAGTCTTAGGTGGGCTTCGAAGGGACTGCTCCGAGGCTCTATCAATTTCTCCGTCTTTCCCGGCTTCTGGGTGACAGTGCCAAGTTCAAGTCAAGAAGTACCCATTCTGGTGTTTTTGACACAGTCACCCTAATAGGAAATGAAGAGGTGATAACAAACACTTCAGCCTTTCAACTTAAAAGTAGTCTTGGGTGGACGCTTTATAAAGGCAGCCTACCAACGGGTATCCCTAAAATAATTCCTATGAAGCGCTAAATCCTCAGTCCCTTGGACTCTGAAATTTAAAAGAATTCGAATATATATATATATATTCTGCTTTTTACGAGAAGCCCAAGGCTGTGTTCCCGAAGGTGCCCAGAGGCGGCGTGAGGCCCTGCACCAAAACCCACTAAGGCCCCGCCGCGGATCCGGAGCCCAGACAGTGTTCCCGCCCCGGCCCGCCCACCTCTCCGCACTCTCCGCGCACCTGGAATAGGAAGAGAAATGGGGGGCTCAGGGAGAGAAAAACAAACCAGTACCCGGAGCGAGAGTTCGAACCGAGAAGCCCCTCTCCCGGCCGGGCGCGCGTCCCTCGTGGGCGCCGCGTTGGGGAAGGAAACCTGTTGAGCGACTCTCGGCGGCTCCGCTCCCGGCGCCTCCCGCGCCCTCTGCGGCCGAGGCTGGGCTCCTCCGCTGCAGCCCGAGCTCCGCGCCGCCGCGGCCGCATCTGGGCGCCGCCGGCTCTGCCCTCGCCGCTTAGGAAGCGACCACAGCTGGGGACAAGGCCCCGCCCCGCTTGACAGCGCCGGGGCGCGGCGGCTCGCAGAGCGCGGGTTCCCGCCCCGCCCGGAGTCCCTGCGCTCGGAGCCGCCCGGAGCCGGGGACGCGCCCCAGCACCTCCCGTGCGCCTCGGGGAGTTCCCACGGGCGGAGCGGACCCTCGCGGGGAGTGGGAGGTTTGCCGCCAGAAGCTGTTCCTCAGCTCATCCTCCGGTTCCCAAGGCAGGGAGCGCGGTGGACTTTCCCCGGGAATCCCCGCTGCGCTGATGACATTTGCCGTCCGGTGCGTTTCCGCCGCGAGGACGGTGGAAGCGGTCTCTGAGCGTGGGTGTGGCTGCCGAGGCTGCGGCAGGTCCTGTACCCGCTGGACCCTCCAGGAGGCGGGCAAGGAGCCTGCAGTCACACAGCGGCCGGGCAGCGCCTTCCCAGAACCCTGCGGCCAACCCCTCTCCAGTTGGCCTCAGAACCCGCCGGGCTCATCATTCCCTGGATATCAACCGAGCGTCCCCTTGTGTGCCCAGTATACCACCGCTCTCAGAAATACTGCCAACACCCTCCCCCTTCTCCAGGTCCCAGCACTTTAATGGGGAGATAAACAGAAAGTGTGGATTGTGCCAGGTGGTGGTAAGCACCTTGAAAAACAGAGATGAGGCTGAAAAGTAAGTGATATTCAAAAAGGGAAATCGGGCCTGGCGCGATGGCTCACCCCCGTAATTCTAGCACTTTGGGAGGCCGAAGTGGGAGGATCGCTTGAGCCCAGGCGTTTGAGACCAGTCTGAACAATGTGGTGAAAACCCATCTCCACAAAAAATACAAAAATTAGCTGAGCGTGGTGGCGTGCCTCTGTGGTCCCAGCTACTCGCGAGGCTAAGGTGGGAGGATCACTTGAGCCCAGGAGGTCAAGGATGCAGTGAGCCTAGATCCTGCCACTGCGCTTCAGCCTGGGCAAAAGAATGAGAAGGAAAAATAAAAATAAAAAACGAATCCTGCCTTGATGGGAGAATGTTTACACACAGGAACTACCTGAAAGAGCTCCCAGTTGCCAAAGATGGAACCATTTGAGCAACCAAGTAAACTAAACAAAGTCTTATTGGATTAAAAGCCAAAGTAAAAAATATCCATGAGTCTACACTGATATAAATAAATAATTGAATAAATAAATAAAAGGCAGACAGGAGACAAATCTCCTACACAGAATAGTTCCAAATAATTTATGTAGATCATCTATCCTAGGCTGTGCACAGCGACTTCCTCCAAAATAGTACAATATGGAAAGGGGAGAAGAGTAGCTTTACAGTGGAGAAAGCTGATAGACACTACGCCGGCCAGAAGTTCTAAGTCAACCTCAACAATCATGAATTATATTGATGACATGCAGTTAATACAATGTGATGAATGTGGCCTATTACCTCTGTGGTCTTCCTCCCCAGAACCCATAACCACCTTCTCATAATGAGAAAAATACCAGACAAATTTCAATAGTGGGACATCCTACAAAATACCTGACCATATTCCTCGAAGTTGTCAGGTTATCAAAAGTAAGGAAAGTACAGTCCAGACGTGGTGATTCATACCTGCAATCCCAGCACTGTGGGAGGCTGAAGCGAGAGGATTGCTTGAGGTCAGGAGTTCAAGACCTGGTCTGGCCAACATAGCAAGACCCTGTCTCTACAAAAATTAAAAATAAAAATTAGGAAAGTCTGAAAAACTGCCGCGGCCTAGAAGAAGCTAAGGAGGATGTGAAAACTAAACGTAATGTGGCATCCTGGATGGGATCCTGGGACAGAAAAAGGACGTGGGGAAAAGCTAAGGAAATCTAAATAAAGTATGGACTTTCATTAGCGATAAAAATCAAGGTTGATTAAATTAGTTGTGAGGAACGTAATGTAAGATGCTAATCATAGAAAAATATGAAATGGAATTTATGGCAATTCTGTACTACCTTTGCAATTTTTCTGTAAATCTAAAACTGTTCTAAAAAAATACAGTTTATTGGCTGGGTGCGGTGGCTCATGCCTGTAATCCCAGCACTTTGAGAGCCCGAGGTGAGTGGATCATGAGATCAGGAGTTCAAGACCAGCCTGGCCAATATGGTGAAACCCATCTCTACTGAAAATACAAAAAAATTACCTGGGCGTGGTAGTGGGCGCCTGTAATCCCAGCTACTCAAAAGGCTGAGGCAGAGAATTGCTTGAACTCGGGAGGCAGAGGTTGCAGTGAGCCAAGATCGTGCTACTGCACTCCAGCCTGGGCAACAGAGCAAGACTCTCCCATCTCAAAAAAAAAAAAAAAAAAAAAAAAAAGAAAAAGAAAAAAAAAAGAAAAGAAAAAGAAAAAAATACAGTTTATTATAAAAGAAAGTAAGATAAGGGATGAGGTGTGTTATATTTTTAAAAATATGTATATTGCAAAGCCCTGTAAGATAAGAGAATCACTGAGGGAGGAAACAATGCAGCTATTGGGATTAAGATCATTTCAAGCCTAGGGATGAGTGGATGTAAAGGCCCCAAGGCAGGAGCATGCTTGGCTTCTGGGAGAAATATCAGGGTGGGCAAAACAGAGTTCAGTAAGAGTGATGGCGGCGGGGCTGGGAGTGGGGAATAGAGCATGTACGGCATTGGTAGTCATGACAGTCTTTAAATTTTACATTGAAGGCTGGGCACAATGGCTCACGCCTATAATGCCAGCACTCTGGGAGACTGAGGTGGGCAGATCACAAGGTCAGGAGTTCGAGATCAGCCTGGCCAACATACTGAAACTCCATCTCTACTAAAAATACAAACATTAGCTGGGTGTGGTGGTGCACGCCTGTAATCCCATCTACTCGGGAGGCTGAGGCAGGAGAATCACTTGAACCCGGGAGGCAGAGGTTGCAGTGAGCCGAGAGCACACCACTGCACTCCAGCCTGGTGACAGAGCAAGACTCTGTCTCAAAAAAAATTTTTTTTACATTAATTGAGATAGGAAGATGGAAGAATGTTTAGCAGAAAAGCTAAATGATGTGGTTGGTTGTTTTTTTAATCCACCATTTTGTTGAGGATAGATGAAAGGACAAAGATTAAAACAGGCCAACGAGTTAGGAAGCTGTGATGGTTAATTTGATGTGTCAAATTTTATTTGGTAAAACATTATCCTGGGTGTGTCTGTGAGAGTGCTTGCTGATGACATTTTAATTTTTTTTTTTTTTTTTTGAGGCAGGGTCTCACTCTGTTGCCCAGGCTGCAATGCAGTGGCATGATTATGGCTCCCTGCAGCCTTGACCTCCCCTGCTCAAGTGATCCTCCTGCCTCAGCCTCCTGAGCAGCTGGGACTACAGGCATGCACTACCACACTCTGCTCAAGTGATCCTCCCACCTTGGCCTCCCAAAGTTCTGGGTTAGCAGGCGTCAGCTACCATGCTCAGCTGAGATTAACCTTTGAATCCATGGGGAAGACTTCCTGAAAAAGTAAATTGTGGATGGGGAGGAAAGGGGAAGATTGCTGGGGATTAAGGGTAGCATTTTGGACTCCTTCAGTTTGGAGTTGTCAAGTTGTCATGAAGGCAGTTGGTTAGGTGAGTCTGGGATGGCGGCATATATCTGGAGGTCTTTAGCATATAGATGGTGTGCAGACAGAATGGGGATGTCTGAAGTCTGAGTCCTGGCATGCTCCAAAGTTCAGAGGTTAAGAATAAACCAAGAGAGATAAACCAAGAGAGAACATGTTCCAGAAGTCAAATGAAAAGAATGTGGCAAGAAAGAATGATTAACTGTCAAATGCTGCTACGGTGTGTAAAATTAGGACTGAAAACTGAGCAATGGGCTTGGTCACAGAGAGGTCAGTGGTGAACTTGGTAAGAAGAGTTTTAGTGGTGGGATGACCGAAGCCTGTTTGGGGTCACCCCAGAAAGAATAAAAATGGCAGATGAAGACAAAGAAATGGAATAGAACCTGGAAGGAACTATATAGTCAAAGCAGTTTTTTTTTTTTTTTTTTTTTTTTTTTTTTTTTTTTTTTTTTTTAAAGTAGAACCTACACATTTGTATGCTCACAGGCGTGAACCAAACGGATCTGAAAGAAGGATGATATAGGAGAGAAATGGGTTATGTGCTAGAACAATGTTCTTGAGTAGATAGATGAGCAGGTGTGTGATGCAATGCACAAATGGAAACTTGGGGTTAAATAGAAGAAAGAGTTCACCCCTGTAACAGGAGAGAACTCCAAAATGAAGGTGTCCAAATGCCACTCTTAATCCCAAGCAATCTTCCCCCTGCCTCCCCATCTGCAATTTACTTTTTCAGGCAGTCTTCCTCATGGATTCAAATGTTAATAGCTGAGCATGGTAGCTTGCCCCTGTAAACCCAGCACTTTGGGAGGCCAAGGTAGGAGGATCACTTGAGCCTGGGAGTTGGAGACCAACCTGGGCAACATAAGGAGATCTCATCTTTACTAAAAATCCAAGAATAAGCCGGGTTTGATGGTGCATGCCTGTTGTCTTAGCTCCTCGGAAAGTATGGCAGAGATGCTGGTAAATGTGGAAGGAATAACATATTTTATCGATGAAATGCAAAGCAAGGTCGTCTGCTAAGAGTGAGGAGTATGGAGGAAGTTTGGGGAGAGAGGAGAAATATGAAGTCATCTAGAACAGTGAGAAAGTCAATGGACTTGGAAAATACAGTTGGATTGTTGGGGAGCAGGAAGAGCCCATTTGAGGTCAGAGCTCATGAATATAAAGCAAGGCCAGTAGGTGTAGCTGTGTGTTCTTGCCAGCTTCATTTACCTACTTGGGTACAGATAAAACTAGGCAGAGGGTTAGATGTAAGCAAAGTTTGGAGTTGCCAGGTAAATATGAAGGGAGAGAGAATAACAGGGGGTCGGGGGTGTATGCAAGAGAATGATGATAGTGAACGACCACAGCATCTAAGCAGGCAAGGGGAGAAGAGAGGACGTGAATGACGGTGTTGAGAAGAAGAGAAAAGGTGTTAGGGGGTCAATGGATTGGAATTTCCAGGGGATCAAGAAATGGTCACAGTTAGGGGTTAGAGAGATTCAGTGGAAAAGTACTGCGAGATAGTTGGGACCAGGTACAATGGCTTATGCCTATAATCCCAGCACTTTGAGAGGCCCAGGTGGGTGGATCACCTGAGGTCAGGCGTTCAAGACCAGTCTGATCAACATGGCAAAAAACCTTGTCTCCACTAAAAATACAAAAATTAGCTGGGTGTGGTGGCAGGTGCCTGTAATCCCAGCTACTTGGGAGGCTGAGGCAGGAGAATCGCTTGAACTCAGCAGGTGAAGTTTGCAGTGAGCCAAGATTGCACCACTGCAC